TGTTTATATAGTTTACTTATCTGTATAATGTTAGTGTATAATAAAGAAATATTAAAAATTTATATTGAAAATATTAAATATTAAAAATAGTGAAAATTAAATAAAAAATAGTGGTATGCTGTGAATAAATAAACCGCAACAGCCGTTAGCGCTTCAATAATCATTTTAATAAATTCGTCCGCACATTGGCATGAATCGAAGCAAACTGAACGACCTTCCAACGTGTGGACGCGATCACAAATTCTTGGCCAATATCTCTGCCAACACATTCGCCACTATGTTGGCCAACGTGAAGAGCCGCCATAAGAAACAATCTCGAGTTTCAAGCAAACTTCAGCACTCAAAATTTGTGTGCCAGTTTTTGTGTTTGTCACCACATGGCCTTCTACATTATGATGATCTTTGGAAGGAAACGTTTTTATTCTTTTAAAACCTTTCATTTAACTTTTTCTTTGTGCGAGAAGTACCGGTTCAAAATTTGTAATCAATTTTTGAAGTTGGTAGTTGTTCGCATCCGATTGAACTCAATGGGTAGGTAACACTTATGTAACTACGCTGACAATGCAATAATATGGCATCGTGATGCTGATCTGATGACCTCAATAGGTCTGAAGGAATTAAACTTTATCGGTCAACTGGTTCGGAAGGTCCATGAATACTAACAGACACTAACGATTATATAGATGTATATAGGTAGTAAGTACTCGTAGATATTTTATGACGCAATAATTTCGCAAATCTTCATTCTTCGTCAACTGAATCCAAAAAACTTATTTCATCTGAGTTTGTACTTGTAGTTCGTCATGTAAGGGCTTAAAATCTAGTCAATGCAGACCAATAGACAATACAGACCAGTCTTGCGCATTAACTGCTAGTTTGATTGATGCGTCACAAAATGGAGGTTTTATGAAATGAATGGATTTGCAATATAATATTATTACAATATCATAATTTAAAACCCTATTAAAAATTAAAACAATAAACAACTATAAAATTATGAAAATAATACCTAATTTTTCTACCGACTTCAAAAAGGAGACGGTAGTCAATTCGACTGCATGTTTTTTTTTGTGTGTTACCTCATAACTTTTTACTGGGTGAACCGATTTCGATGATTCTTTTTTCTCTTTTTTATTTGAAAGATGGTGCTTCACATGTGGTCAAGATCAAGGTCTGACCAACAGTTTTTGAGTTCTTAATAATTTATATTGAAGTCGGTTGTACAAAATTTTAAATTTTAATTATTAATTGAGAAAAATATAACAAATTTTCAAGTAAAATTTCTAAGAAAATAAGTATTATATAATGTATTGTCATGTTTGACAAACAACGTTTTGTTTTCACGTGGTAGAGCCATGCTGCAGTTGTATTAGTGGTATAGTTGTAGCACGATCGGGGAAGGACCACGCTCTCACAGAATACCAGCGTAAAATAGCAGCCTAATGCTGCCGTGTTTCATACGGTGAGTGTAGAGAACCGGAGACACTTTTTTACTGGGAACGAGGCAAATCTTAGTCCTCACGGCTGACAACCTTACCCTAAAAAAAAGTCACATTAAAATCTTTATACACTGTTTTCACTCCTTTACTGATGGAATATTTTCTTCAAATTTTTATGTGACCACCCCTGAAATATAGCCTATATAATAAAAAAATCATTCAAATAGGTTTAGAAGTTTCGGAGAATCCGGTGAATATACATATGAACATTTTATTAAGTGTTGGGACTTATTTTTTGTTCAGTAGCTGGTTAGATACCACCGTCTTACCTACAATGCTATTTTATGAACAAAAAAAAAAACATACGCGTCGAATATAAAACCTCATTTTTGTACTCGTTTAAAATGCTTTGTTACGCGTTTCTTTGTTTTCGGTTCTTTGTTTCAGTTTTGAAGTAGTTTTATGTATTAAAAGTAAAATTTAATGTATTAGTGTTGTTCGTTAAACAGAATAGGTTTACTTTTATAAATACTTATAGCATTATTTTTTAAATATTATAAAATCTCTGAAATAACGGTTATATTTTAAACCGTATAAAACGCAAATATTATCTATCCAAAAATTATGGGACTATATTGTACTTACAAGCGTCCCACTTTATTTGTGTACCTTCTTATGTATACAAATTCATTCGCTTCGTATAAAACAACATTATTCCTAGGTTATATAAAGGCAGAGCATCTAGATGGAGCTATATGACGTTGCGGGACGGAGTGCGGGGCAAAGGGAGGGAGGGTCGAGGCGAATCAATAACCCTGTCCTACTGACCTATAAAGGAGCCCGGTGCCGCTATGAATCTAATCTGCTTTATCAATGTTGGCTTGCGTCCATGAATTTGTTACAATTAGAATGCTAAGTATTTTAAATGCGTAGCTATATTCTGTAATGCTGCTATATTCTAAATCAGTACATTGTTCGATATTTGATTTTGAGAAAAAAACGGATTGTTTCTTTTTATTTGTAATATTGTTACGAGCTTGGGGTTCGAGACAATTACAATCTAAAACCACACTAATAATAAAACACAATCACTTTAGTTCGCAGTTATTTCGCTTCGAAGTATTCTCTTGTATCGCCAATTCAATACTGCCTCGGTCGTGGTCTATACCGGCCTTATATAGGGCCTCAGATAGTTTCCAGAATCTTCTACTGTAGCGACATCTAGAATGTTCGAGTACATATCGGTCCCGAAATTTCTGGAAGGATCTTGACTATCCTAGTTCTGCTACTCGACACTAGAGGGCGCTAGTGTAACTAGTGTTGCCATGTACAAGACATTAATAGTGGCGCGCAACGCTGCCCCCTCCTAAGACATGCTCGTCCCGAGCATTATTGGCCCCATAATAACGCGCCAGTCGATCCACCAGGACGATCTTAGGAGTACCTCTGGCACCTTTCTGTATCCGGTAGGTTACGTCATTGATCCTTGTCACAATCCGGTACGGTCCGTCCCGTTTAGCTTGAAGCTTAGGAGATTTCCCTTTGTTGCGAGCTGGATTGTGTACCTTCTACAAACCCTTTGTTGTTCATTTTGCGGTCATACCGTGTTTTCATCTTCTCAGACGTTTGCTGGCCCGACTGCCTGACGTGCTTATAAATGTCATTCATTTTGTTCCGCAAGTCATTTGCATAATCGGTTATACTGCGTGGGGCATCAGGTGGTATTCCGGTGATCAGGTCTGCAGGCAGCCGTAATTCTCTCCCAAAGTTTGCGAAAGCTGGTGTCACTGATGTACTTTCGTGAACAGCGCTTCGATATGACAACAAAAACGGTTGTATGTGCCTGTCCCAGTCTCGTTGCCGTTTTTCCACAACTTTTGTCAGGTACCTTTCCAATGTCTGATTAAATCGTTCTACCATTTCATCAGATTGTGGGTGGTAAGAAGTTGTTCGTGTTTTATGAGTACCCATAACTCTGCAAGTTTCATGGAATATTTGAGACTCGAAATTCCTTCCTTGATCGCTGTGAATCTCTAAGGGTACTCCAAAACGACACAAGACTTCATGACCCAGTTTATCTGCAACTGTTGAAGCTAAAAAGTAATCCATCACAACCATGAAATACTTGTTACCACTTTCACTTTCCGGAAACGGCCCCGCAACGTCAATGGCTCTCCTCTCCCATGGTGCACCAACATTGTACAATTTCAATGCGCCTCTACTACGAATTTGAGGTCCCTTTACAGCCGCACAACTTGTACATTTGCGGCACCAGTCCTCGACATCGTCACGACAGTGGACCCAGTAAAACCGTTCTCGGATCTTCAGTAGACTTCGTTTAACTCCCAGGTGGCCTCCTGAACAACAACTATGGTACAGCTGTAGAACATCCGGTACTTTAGCCTTAGGGACAACCATTTGCAAATGACAACTGTCTCCCCGACCATTTTCCCATTTACGGCACAGGACTCCATCCTGAATCAGCAAGCTGTCCCATTGGGCCCAATAGCTTTTCGTAGTTGAACTCATTGCTGAGACGTCGCTCCACTTGGGCTTAGGAGCACTGGCCTTCACCCATTCCAGAATCGGCTTAATGTCCGAATCTTCCTGCTGTGCATGTTGTAGGCTGTCCTTCCACTCATTGCTGAGCTGGTTTGCCCTGAGCATCCTCACAGATACCACTTCCTTACCCTCTTGCCTAGTACAATGCTTGCAATCTTCAGGGTAAGGTCTTCTTGACAATGCATCTGCATTGCTATGAGATTTCCCGCTGCGATGTTCGATCACAAAGTAGTATTCCTGCAGTAGTTCAATCCATCTCGCAACTTGTCCTTCCGGATTTTTGAACTGCAATAGCCATTTCAGTGCAGCATCGTCAGTTCGTAAGTGGAATTTCCGCCCTAGAAGATATTTGCTAAAATGCTGCAAGGACTTTACCACAGCAAACAATTCCCGTCTTGTGACACAATAGTTCCTTTCCGACTTTGACAACGACTTGCTTAAGGACGCTATCACAATCTCTTGATCACCATTCCGTTGAGACAACACACCGCCAAGTCCTATATCACTTGCGTCTGTGTCAACTATGAATTCCTTGCCCGCATCAGGGTACCCCAAAATAGGTGTTATGCACAGACGGTTCTTGAGCTCCTGGAATGCAATATCGCAACTTTCATCCCAGCAGAAATGCCGCTTCTCCTCGGTTAGCTTGTGCAGAGGTTTGGCTATATCTGCAAAGTTCTTCACAAATCGCCGATAATAAGAGCACAAACCCAAAAACGCTCTAACCTGTGTCTTGTCTTTTGGAACCGGCCACTCCTTGACAGCGGCAATTTTCTCTGGATCCGTGCGGATACCTTCTTCCGACACTATATACCCCAAAAAACTAACTTGCCCTTTGAATAATGAGCACTTCTTCGGACTCAACTTGAGGTTGGCACTCTGGATCTTCATGAGCACGCGTTCCAGGTTTTGAAGGTGTTCCTCAAACGTACGGCCTACGATGATGATGTCATCCAAGTAGACCAGACAGGCATCTCCAATTAGCCCGGTAAGTACAAGCTACATCAATCTTTCAATCGTTGCTGGAGCATTGCACAATCCAAACGGCATGACATTAAATTGCCACAGACCCTTTCCTGTGGAGAATGCAGTTTTCTCCTTATCCTTAGGATCAATTTCAACCTGCCAGTAGCCACTTTTCAGGTCCAGCGTACTAAACCACTTTACGCCTGTAAGTATGTCCAGCGTGTCATCAATTCTTGGCAAGGGATAGCTGTCTTTCTTCGTAACGTCGTTCAGGCGGCGGTAGTCAACACAAAACCGCATGCTGCCGTCCTTCTTCTTTACCAGCACCACAGGTGAACACCATGGACTAGATGAAGGTTCAATAACACCATCTTTCACCATTCCCTCAATCATGGTTTCCACTTCCTTTTCACGTGCTACAGGCAATCTTCTTGGCCACTGACGAAGGCAATTCTTTTCCTGTGTTTATTTTGTGTTGAACTAAGCCAGTCTTTCCTATGTCAGCTTCGTTTGACGAGAAAACATTGGCGTACTTGAGTAACAACTTCTTCGCCTTGACCATTTCATTCGGGGAGAGAACGCTGCGACAGTCTTCTAAAAGTGTGGTCACTCTCGTTTGTCCATCCTTGCTGAGGGTCCCAGTCGATAGATATTGGCACCGACGCAACCAATCCACTTCCTCACTAGTACCAACCAATGTGCCTTTTTCTATAATCTGTTCCTGATCACAAAGGTTCAGCACACGTACTCCTGAGATGTCGGCGGTTCTGACCAAGGTTCGAGCCACTTTCCATGGAAGGTCTTTGGGGGAGGCCTATGTTCGGCAGTGGACTTGTGAAGGGCTGTAATGATGACACATTCATTTCAGTCATGTTTTCAGTGTTTTCACGAAATGATAGACTACTTTATGATATATGATCAATTCTACGATCTGGCCACGACTTACATAAAAATCTCTTTAATAAAACTATGATGATAATGAAAATTCTGCAACAATTGCAGACAGACCAGTTTTTATCACTTTACATATATATTAGTAATTGAAATAAATACCTTATCAATTTTCATATTTTTGATAGACATCACTATTATCTATTGAAATTATTACACTTTTAAAATAAAATAACAAATTTTTTAAATAAAACTAATTTTACGGATTTTATCGCGTATATTAACTTATTTTTATATTCCCGACGTTTCGGGTGCTTTCCAGCACCCGAAACGTCACACAGACCTATTCAAAACGCATGTAAAGGCGGCTCTTCACGTTGGCCAACATACTGGCGAATGTGTTGGCCAACAACGATGGCCATCGTGTAGAGCGGGTGTTTAAGCTACGTTGGTACGTATTGGAACGATGGCCCACAAGTTGGCGCGAGATCCGTCTGGTGTCGGTTTTTTACAAAAGATCAAAGGGTTGTCGCAGAGTATTGGCCACCGCGTCCACACGTTGGGCGCACGTTCAGTTTGCTACGAGCTCCCAGAGTGATTGCACGCATCTGATTTAAATTTTATATGCACGCATCTCTACATAACGGCAGTAACAATGACCAATGAAAAAACTTTTCGCTTTATAGAGCCCTACCAAGCCGAAAATTGTTTGTGAAACACAAGTCTTTTAAAAAAAAACGTTACCCCCACACTAGGATTTTCTTCTGTATCGTGGAGGCAGTTTAGAAACATAAATTGCATAAGGACAAACATCCAGACCCGGAGCAATTATGTGCAAGCTATACAAATACTTGTTCCGTGCGGGATTCGAACCCGCGGCCTCCAGCGCAGCAACTCATTGCTAAGCCACTACGCCACGGAGCCGCCAAGAAATAAAATTTCTTTTTTTCCATTTCTTTTTGATCACCCTTTTCTTATACACATTCACGTTGTAGTGATTGATGTATTAATTTATTTATTGATGTATTAATTGATTTATTGATGTATTAATGCTAGGAGACTAGGTAAGATATTAAAATCAAATTAAAAGCTAGGATACTAAAATCATGTTTTTACTGTCTTCATTATTAGTTATATTATATCCCTATTAGTTAGGTACTTTATTTCCTTAATAATACTGTAATTTTTAGCTATAGAAGTACGAAGTCACCTGTTACAGGCATTATTTTGCTTACTAGGTGACCTCGATCACTGATCATATAATGTAACTTTAATGTTTGACGAAATAAATTATTTATTATTATTATTATGGGGTATCTATAAAGTTTTCTCATCTGGTTGGGCACAATAAATATATAATTATAAATGAAAATGGTAAACATACATAAATATGAATAAATTATTATTATTATTAAGTTCGCCATATGTACTACTTTGTGCATGAAAGTGTAAATAAATAAATATGTTCTATAATTATATTATAACCCTTTTTTAAAAAGGTTTTGTTTAATAAAAAATTTACAACAGTTTCATAGACAGGCTTCGAATATTTTCCAGGCCTTAGTTAATTATACCTATGCCTAGGTGTGTTAATGTTTATATAGTTTACTTATCTGTATAATGTTAGTGTATAATAAAGAAATATTAAAAATTTATATTGAAAATATTAAATATTAAAAATAGTGAAAATTAAATAAAAAATAGTGGTATGCTGTGAATAAATAAACCGCAACAGCCGTTAGCGCTTCAATAATCATTTTAATAAATTCGTCCGCACATTGGCATGAATCGAAGCAAACTGAACGACCTTCCAACGTGTGGACGCGATCACAAATTCTTGGCCAATATCTCTGCCAACACATTCGCCACTATGTTGGCCAACGTGAAGAGCCGCCATAAGAAACAATCTCGAGTTTCAAGCAAACTTCAGCACTCAAAATTTGTGTGCCAGTTTTTGTGTTTGTCACCACATGGCCTTCTACATTATGATGATCTTTGGAAGGAAACGTTTTTATTCTTTTAAAACCTTTCATTTAACTTTTTCTTTGTGCGAGAAGTACCGGTTCAAAATTTGTAATCAATTTTTGAAGTTGGTAGTTGTTCGCATCCGATTGAACTCAATGGGTAGGTAACACTTATGTAACTACGCTGACAATGCAATAATATGGCATCGTGATGCTGATCTGATGACCTCAATAGGTCTGAAGGAATTAAACTTTATCGGTCAACTGGTTCGGAAGGTCCATGAATACTAACAGACACTAACGATTATATAGATGTATATAGGTAGTAAGTACTCGTAGATATTTTATGACGCAATAATTTCGCAAATCTTCATTCTTCGTCAACTGAATCCAAAAAACTTATTTCATCTGAGTTTGTACTTGTAGTTCGTCATGTAAGGGCTTAAAATCTAGTCAATGCAGACCAATAGACAATACAGACCAGTCTTGCGCATTAACTGCTAGTTTGATTGATGCGTCACAAAATGGAGGTTTTATGAAATGAATGGATTTGCAATATAATATTATTACAATATCATAATTTAAAACCCTATTAAAAATTAAAACAATAAACAACTATAAAATTATGAAAATAATACCTAATTTTTCTACCGACTTCAAAAAGGAGACGGTAGTCAATTCGACTGCATGTTTTTTTTTGTGTGTTACCTCATAACTTTTTACTGGGTGAACCGATTTCGATGATTCTTTTTTCTCTTTTTTATTTGAAAGATGGTGCTTCACATGTGGTCAAGATCAAGGTCTGACCAACAGTTTTTGAGTTCTTAATAATTTATATTGAAGTCGGTTGTACAAAATTTTAAATTTTAATTATTAATTGAGAAAAATATAACAAATTTTCAAGTAAAATTTCTAAGAAAATAAGTATTATATAATGTATTGTCATGTTTGACAAACAACGTTTTGTTTTCACGTGGTAGAGCCATGCTGCAGTTGTATTAGTGGTATAGTTGTAGCACGATCGGGGAAGGACCACGCTCTCACAGAATACCAGCGTAAAATAGCAGCCTAATGCTGCCGTGTTTCATACGGTGAGTGTAGAGAACCGGAGACACTTTTTTACTGGGAACGAGGCAAATCTTAGTCCTCACGGCTGACAACCTTACCCTAAAAAAAAGTCACATTAAAATCTTTATACACTGTTTTCACTCCTTTACTGATGGAATATTTTCTTCAAATTTTTATGTGACCACCCCTGAAATATAGCCTATATAATAAAAAAATCATTCAAATAGGTTTAGAAGTTTCGGAGAATCCGGTGAATATACATATGAACATTTTATTAAGTGTTGGGACTTATTTTTTGTTCAGTAGCTGGTTAGATACCACCGTCTTACCTACAATGCTATTTTATGAACAAAAAAAAAACATACGCGTCGAATATAAAACCTCATTTTTGTACTCGTTTAAAATGCTTTGTTACGCGTTTCTTTGTTTTCGGTTCTTTGTTTCAGTTTTGAAGTAGTTTTATGTATTAAAAGTAAAATTTAATGTATTAGTGTTGTTCGTTAAACAGAATAGGTTTACTTTTATAAATACTTATAGCATTATTTTTTAAATATTATAAAATCTCTGAAATAACGGTTATATTTTAAACCGTATAAAACGCAAATATTATCTATCCAAAAATTATGGGACTATATTGTACTTACAAGCGTCCCACTTTATTTGTGTACCTTCTTATGTATACAAATTCATTCGCTTCGTATAAAACAACATTATTCCTAGGTTATATAAAGGCAGAGCATCTAGATGGAGCTATATGACGTTGCGGGACGGAGTGCGGGGCAAAGGGAGGGAGGGTCGAGGCGAATCAATAACCCTGTCCTACTGACCTATAAAGGAGCCCGGTGCCGCTATGAATCTAATCTGCTTTATCAATGTTGGCTTGCGTCCATGAATTTGTTACAATTAGAATGCTAAGTATTTTAAATGCGTAGCTATATTCTGTAATGCTGCTATATTCTAAATCAGTACATTGTTCGATATTTGATTTTGAGAAAAAAACGGATTGTTTCTTTTTATTTGTAATATTGTTACGAGCTTGGGGTTCGAGACAATTACAATCTAAAACCACACTAATAATAAAACACAATCACTTTAGTTCGCAGTTATTTCGCTTCGAAGTATTCTCTTGTATCGCCAATTCAATACTGCCTCGGTCGTGGTCTATACCGGCCTTATATAGGGCCTCAGATAGTTTCCAGAATCTTCTACTGTAGCGACATCTAGAATGTTCGAGTACATATCGGTCCCGAAATTTCTGGAAGGATCTTGACTATCCTAGTTCTGCTACTCGACACTAGAGGGCGCTAGTGTAACTAGTGTTGCCATGTACAAGACATTAATAGTGGCGCGCAACGCTGCCCCCTCCTAAGACATGCTCGTCCCGAGCATTATTGGCCCCATAATAACGCGCCAGTCGATCCACCAGGACGATCTTAGGAGTACCTCTGGCACCTTTCTGTATCCGGTAGG